AAAAAAATAATATAAAAATATTGTCTCAAAATCATTTTTTTTTAATATTTCACAAAAAAAAAAAACAAATATCTTCCAATTACAAGGAAATTTCTCTTAAAATTTTGTAGGAAAAAATTGCTGAAGTCCTTGCCTCGTAAAGAGGAATATTCGTTCTTATTTTGCTCCTGTTGCTGGGATCCCGTAACATGGGAAAATTACCATCTCTAAGTGATTTAGTTAAAGAAGTGAGTGGTGAATTAAAAAACAAATAAATAAATAAATAACTCTTATCTTCCGTATGAAGGACTGCTCATCAACATTATAGTTGTCCAATTATATGGCACTAATTTGGAAACCTATGCATCCTTTAATGATACCTCCACTAAACAAAGACAATGAAGGTGATGATAACCCCACATTTGGGTTTTTTTAAAAAAAGAAATTAACCCTTAAGAATTCCCATCACTTCCATAATTAAAAATTAAAACCAAGTTGAAAGATTCCTGTTTTTTCAACTGAAAATTGACCTGTGTGAAAGCACTCTTCCTATTATATTCTCCCTTTTGAGACATCCACTAATACCAAATACCTAGTGGCCGAATGCCTCAAAGTCATTTCCATGACTAAAAACGTTATCCCGTTTGTGATGTCATCTCAAATCTATTCTTTTTAAATATTCAAGGAAAAGTGTTTGAATTCTGTTACACTTGGTCCAATAATTTGATTAAGGGGTGTTTGGTATGGCCAAAATTTAGGAGAACGGACACAAAAGGCATAACTCCAAAGGGACTACCGATTATGTTTGGCCAAAATCCTTTACTAGCATAAAGTATAAACAATCAAGGCATAAGGTATTTCAAAAAAAATAAAAAAATAACTTTAAGAATTGCATTTACAACTCATGTATAAATAAATATTATTTTATAAATTTGAAATTAATATTTAAGAAATTAAATTTTGAAATATATTAAATTAATAAAAAAATATGTCTTTAAAATTATTTTAAAAAATCAATCTCATAATATGGACAAGTTAATATGAAAATATCCTAATTGCCCAAATCAAAGAAAAGAAAAACACAAGCAAGGTGCACCGAGCAACACTTTCTTATAGATTTCCACACTCGGAGTAGGTTAGATCTGGCAAAAGAACAGGATCCAACCCAACCCACTGGCATCGTTATGGGGTCAAGTCATAAGTTTTGGGTATTAACTTGAAATTCAATATGATTTGATTAAATTAAATTAAATTAAATTTTGTTAAATTTAAAATAATTATTAATTATACTTTTAGTTTATAATTTTCAAATATAAATAAAATTTAAAATGTAAATTAGTTATTATTTGTTAAATTATTAGATTTAACATTTATTTACTAGATTTTTTTAACTAATATTAATATTTTTAAGAGAAGAAGATATTAAATTTTTTTAATTTTAATTTTTTTAAAATTTGACCCTCTCAAGCCAATCTCACATCCACCAAAGTGGATCATACGTGGACTCCTTTAATTCAAATATCAAAATATCCAAACTCCATAAATATCAGCTTTGAGGTGATGCAACCTGACTGTTTAACCAACGATAGAGAAGGCGGAAACCAGACGCCTCAGTGGAAATCATTAGTTAGGAGGTCATGTGGTCAAACCCAAGTCTAGCCCCCTCCCCCTTTTTCCTCCAGTAGTTGCACTACTTGTGTAGTTGTACTCGTAATTTGGTTAAACTATTAATTTGGTTTTTTAATTTTTTGATTTGTATTAAAATTGTTCCTCAACTTAAAAAAACATCAAAATTATCTTTGAGTTTTAATTTTCAATACCCAAAAAGTCCTTCTATTAATAAAAGTATCACATAACTCTTTATTTTGCCACAAAATTAGTTCTTTTTCAAAATATTAATGATATGTAAAATTAAATAATTATATTTTATTATCATGATATATTTTCATTTACATTAGATTGATGTATAATTAAAATTGAAAGACCAAATTAGTATATATAATAAAATTTAATAACTAAGTTGGTACTTGTTTACAAAGTTTAAAAACTAAATTGGTATTATCTTCAAAGTTTGAGAACCATTTTGATATTAAAATTAAAGTTCAGTACAATATTGGTACATTTTGAAATTAAGGGATAATTTTGATACAAATCAAAAAGTTAAGAGACCAAATTGATATTTTAACCTACTAATTTCCTTTCTTTAAAAAGCGAAAAATGAAAATGCAAAAGTACCTATTTGCACCCTCCATTTATGTTATTTCTATGGTCAACAATTCCAAAATTTTTCCTCCCTATTTACACCCTCAACTTTTCAAAACTCGTGAAAAACTCAATATTTTAACGGGCTGTCACGGCACCATTAAAAAATGCACTACGTGGCACCCAGAAATTAACGTGGCACTATGTGACGTTAGTAATCCAACATTGATCCATTTTTTTGATGATGTGGCTTATTTTTTACACATGAACGCCACATATACAGTAAGGTCCACTATGTGGCTTTCTCTTTTCCTTTCCCTTTCCCTTTCTTCAACATCTACAAACCTAAACATCTCAATCAATCTTAACCTTTGTTGGTTTCTTCATCATCAACAAACAACAAAACCCACACACACAAAAAAAAAAAAAAAAAGAAAAAAATTTTCTAATTTTTTGCCATTGGGTCCGAAGGAACCCCAACATTGGGTTTCGAAAGTACCCGTGCCTAGGTTCCAACAAAACCAAGTGTGCTGGGTGTGAAGGAACCCAGTGCGTGGGTTCTTTGGAACTCATGCATAGGTTCCTGGTTGTCATCTTCAACAACAAAAATAATCCAGCATGACACAATCAAATTCTCCGTTAATCAACCCAACCCCTCCTTCAAACCAAAAAAAAAAAAAAAAACCCTTCACTCTTACTTTTAGAAAGAAAAAAGCTCATGCCTTGTTTGCGATTCCTGGCTCGTTGGACTTTGACTCACCTCCACTCCACTCCTCTCCCTCTCCGATGACCTCTACTTAGGATCTTTTCTCTTTCGGAGCCATTTTTTAAAAATAATTTTCTATTTATTAAGTTTTTTTTTTTTCTGGAAGAGTAATCAATGTACGAGTGTGAGATGTACATAGTGCCACCACCACCACCGCCTCAACAATTGGATTCGGGTTCCTCTAGAGATTTACGAGTTTACGAAACCTGGAAAATCAGCAATGTAAGCTTTCTTCGTTCTTTTTTCCCCTATCGATTCCAATGCTTGAATTTTTACTTGGATTTTGTTCCAATTTTTAGCTTTACTGGAGATAATTCAAAAGGGGTTTCCCATTTTGTGGTGTTGGTGC